ACTAGGTGAGATCCCAGCGTTCTCTGTCTTCTTTCTAGGCATAAACTTCTGAACCTGAACTGTATCAGTTAAGCTTGAGCTAAGTTTCCCCAAATACTTAGTGAAACCAGGGTAGTACTGTCATTGTTGGTGTTTGTTTTTCTTCTGTATGTTTATTACTACTAGTACTATTATATATTTCATATGCTTAGCAATAAATAACTTTTATAGTCAAACTGGTAGTAATTGGGTATATTTTTCCTTCTCTGCTTCTCTTTCCTCCCGTGCTCTGCAGCAACGCTTCTTTTACCTATGCTAAAGATCCCTGTGAAGCCCAAATTATTGTGGGGTCTGCTCATCAAGAGGCCAAAGATTGGGACGTGCTGAGTTTGAAACACATAAGGGGATCAGCTTGTACAGGCTGATTGACCCAGTTTGACTCAGACGTGCCCTTATGAACTGAATGCTGGCCCACGAGGGTGTCAGCTGGACACCCAGCCGGATTCAGAGGGATTCTGTTCACCTGTGTGCTTGTGTCTGACTGCATTTTATTGTTGCTCTTATGAACTGATTCTTGGCATATGAGGGTGTCAGCCTGTCCATGCTGATCAGCCCGGCCAGGTCAGGCGTGTCACGTTAATTTGTGTGTGTTTGTGTGTATGACTGATTTGGTCCCATTGAGATTGAGTCCTGCAAGATAGCTCCACTGGGGGTGAGGGCTTGCAGAAGGGAGAAATACAGCTCCGTATAGTAACACAAGCAGCACATTGACAGAATCACCAAGACCCTAGAAACTATCCCTAATAAATGAGCACACCCCAAAGTAATGGGCAAATTTGGTAACACCCTCTGGGTAGCTGTCCTGGGCATCCAGTGGTGTCATCACATTTGCTAAACCCACACAGCCTGCAGCATTACTGCTAGTTTATTCCTGGGCAAACAGCAGTGCCTTTTCACCTCCAACCCCAGTGCAGCAAAGATCACTATTTTGTTCCCCATGACTCAATTCAAACAGCGCCTGTAATTATGTGATGTGAACGACAACATGAGTGGTTCACTTGTACTTACCGTGTGGGCCAGGATTTGAACCCAGAATTACAAAAGAGTTTTTTCATTATTACACCCACCCCCATCTAATCCTTATGCTGGTCTCAGCAGTTCTGCCACCATTCATGAAGGCGAATGGATTAGTACTAAAAAAAGAGAAAAAAAACAAAGAAAAAGCTACACACACATATGGGCAGTACACACTTTGATGTCATGCAACCCTTCCGAAATATAATTTCTGAACTGGTCAGAAATGTTTTAAATTATAGGGGAAAAATCACAAACAAATGGCAATAATTTTGATCCAACTGTAGGGCTGCTCAGAAATTTCTGAATTTGGATGAAAAAAGGGGGTGCCTTTTTTGAAACACCCATTCTTCCTTTTGGCCAGCTGGATTATCAAATCTCCTGTGCGCCTTTAACAAAACCCCAACATGCGCACGCTCCGTGCTAGCCCTTCATCTTTCTAAGTTGTGCTTCTATAATAAAACACACACCTCCCATGGCACTGTGGTTAGCAGGGAGACCTCAACTGCATAGAGAGACTGCTCCAGCTCACTGGTCTGACAACCACCTGCCATTCGGGAGCGGGGAGATACCTAAAGTGAACTGCTCTCCAAGGGGAATGAGCCCTGGAGAGGTATTTTTTTATGAGATGGACCAACCTGAGGATGAAGCCCACTTAAGATAAACCCACAGAGATGAGAAGCCTTTTGGGGTAATGTTATTTGAGCTTGAGCTGTGGAAAGTGCTCTTTAAGTTCATTTAGATAAATCCTAGCTGCAGGAAATCCTTTCACTTTGCTTTAGCAGTAGAGTTTGAGTCCTAATCCCTAAGCCTGGGGTGGCTGCTCCTTTTCCAGCTTGGGCTCCCCTGTTCTGTCACAGTGAAGCAATGCAATATCAAAGCATAGGTATTTATGCTGCAAGTCACTTTGTGTCACAGGTGACTGTATACTTATTTATCCACATCGTGCTCATGTGAGTTCTGCACGAGGAATCTAGCAACGCAAGGACAGAGCAGGGACTCGGGGGTGGGAATTGGGGATTAAACTAGCAATAAATACAAAATGTTTGCCTTACTGTAAATTAACACAGTTGTTCCACAAACCTGGTGGACAAACCCACGCATTTCTTAAGCAATAGTTGATTTATTTAGTTGTTTGTTTATCAATCACAGCCTAATGATGTCATTAAACGAATTCCTGTCATTGGGTATTGATATTGCCCTCACCCCCTTACGGGGGCATGTGACATGTGAAAGGGTGACATGTTTTCCTGTGACACGCCAAAGGGTTTTTCTGATGTTTTAGGGGTTGTATCTGCTAGTTGTGCATGGGGGGTTTTCCCAAGTTTTTACAAGCAGATCTGAGAAACACTGGTATAAGATGGTTTAGACAGGGGTGACCCTGTCTGGAGCAGAGGGTTGGATTAGATGACCTCCTGAGGTGCCTTCCAACCCTACTTACCTAGGAGTCTTTGTCAAGATAACAGGGCCCACGTCCTTATCTCTTGATGTGTTTTTTTCCCCCGAGTCTCAAAATGCAGAGTGTTTGCTTAAACCTACAAGGTTGTGCAATCAAAGACAACAACATTAGTATTCAATGCAAATGTAAGAAACCATAAATGCTTTATTTGTTGCTAAAGAACAAGAGTAAATCAAACAAGTTGAATAAAACAAAGAGCTGTATAATTGTTTTAATTAGAACTGCCGCTTATTTCAGCATACGTGTAGCACACAGCGACGTCCCCCAATCTTTTCTCACTTATGCTTGCATAGGTAATAGCTATTTTGACTAATGAAATAAAACTTTGCCAACATTTCTCCACCTCCTTTCAACACAAAAGCTCCTAAACATATTGCAAGAAGCCCATGCAAATTCTGTGATGCTTGCTTCAGATTTCACTCGAGAAGAGTTTAAAGTCGCCACTTAATTCTAAAAGAAAGTGATTTGTAATGACATTTACTGCTTCCAAAGGCTTCAAAGACTTCATGGAATTTAGCTGTAAAACTCGCAGTGATTTCAGACATTTGCAAAGAGAGTAAATGCCAAGATCAGAGTAACCTATATGATTATTGTTAATCATCTGAGCCTCTAAACCCAGGCCTTCCAAACACTGATTCATTCTCCTGTATAAGTAAGAGCAGCCTAGAGGCTGCTAAAGTGTAAAACCACAGCAGGTAGCAGATAGCACCAGCTTGTCTATAGCAGTCAGTGTGATAAATACTGCAGCATATCAGTTTTGTATCATGTAAAATGTCTAAACGTTCCTGCAATATCATTTCACATGTGTCTGATATACCCGTTGCTGATGGTCAGTTAGCATGTAATGGAAGATCTAAATAACGCAGTGAAAAGAAGACTCTTGCACCTAAATAGGGATGGGCCTAACTTGTATCAAATTCTGAAGCCATATTTCAACCTGATGCTTTGCTCAACCCACAGTAAAAATAGGAGCAGCTGTAAAATTTGAATCAAGATCCAGCTTTGCACCTCAAATATTGCCAAAGTTTGGAAGTGTTGAGAGATGGGAGCATGGTGTGGGCCTGTTTTTTATCAGAATTCAATAAGCAGTCAAGCTCTCGCTCTCTCTCTTTGCAGATCCTCATGTCTGGGCAATTACATTTCAACTTTATTTCTTTTTATGCTTATGATTGTCCTTTATTATTTCAACGATTTCATTTATACAAGAGCCCCCTGGCATCATTAATGTGTGGTTATTTTTATCAGCAACATTCTCCTTAGCATGTAAGAGACTATGATTTCATAAACACAGCCCCTCAGTTTTTCTTCTAAAGGCCTGATTTTTGCTAAGCTAGCTAGAAGTTGCTGAGTTGCTCACAACACTGATATTTTTTTCTTTTGTAATAGCTCAATGACTGAAATGATGCCTGGGCCATATTTATTTTGAGGCTTCACTATTAACTCTACAGCTGGCTGGGATGAAGAATCTGATAAGCTGATTGAACTGGAAGAAAACAGGACTTTAAAGGCATCCAAACATGCTTTTAGGAACCATAATAACCTCAGCATTTCATGTCCTTTGAAAGCTGGGATTCCACAGCTAATAGTGATGACCTTAATTGCTGAATTATTAAATGAGCAGATACAGCCTTAAAAAGCACTATCCCAACAGTGAAATGAGGAATCCAGGGCAAAAAATCAAGGATGCATCTTGACCAGTACCCTCCTTCTTCCATCTTCCTTAGTGTATTTGGAAATGGTTATATTAAGAAAGCTCAGGAATTCAATTGTCACCGGTGCTCTCATTTGAGCCCACTCCTTAAGTTCTATACACAGCTGAGTTTCCTATTCTCAGCCTAATGGCTAATGGATTTCAAATGATGCCTCCTATCAACCCATTTCAGGAAGAGCTGGTCTGGTGATGGTCTCTCCTGAGCAGCTTCCAGGCTTATAAAACAGAGAACTGGCCCCTTCCAGAAAAGGAAGGGAGGACATAATAGAGCAGCACATGACTGCTGCTATGGTACTGCTATCCCCATGCCTCCAAAATTCATGAGATGAGCTTGAAAACCATGAGGTTTTAAACTTAATACATTTGAGGGTCTCTATATTTGCCTGCTGATGTTGGAGCGTTTAGGGTTCATGTTTTCAGTCTTCATTCTGTAGTCAGGAGGGCGAATGAAATACTACTTTTAAAGTGAGAGTCACACCTGATTCTAACCAGGGCTTTCCTAAATACAAACACCAAGTATCATGAGACCGATAATCAACTCCTGAGAAGGGGTAACACTGTAGTTGCTCCCAGAGTATCTACTATAAGAGAGTTTGCCTATATTGCATGTGTGCTCTTGTTTTGAGGGTGGAAGGAAAAGGGAGTACTGTTTTCTGTTGTGCAAATATCTATGTCCCTCCAATGCAATTTTAAAGCTAGACTTGATGAACAATCTCCAGGGCATGAGTCTGGAAGCCAAGAGCCCCATCTCTGGAAGCAGGGACTACATTGCTCATTGTCCCTTGAGATCAAGAGGCAGGACTATAGGCAATGTACACTTCACTCAATGAAGTGGATCAGTTGTGGTCTTGTTTCTTTGGGCACTACTCCCTTTTCAAGATGATTCCTTTGTGAGGTTAACGCAGGAGAGAAAACCTTGCAGGGCAGTGCAGTTTCTTGAGGAAAGACACTGTGCCTGCTCCTGGGACTTGTTTGATGCCAGCCAAGCGGGAATGCAGTACAGCTTCTTCACCATAACTAGGTTGGTTCTGAAATACTAACAGGAATGTGACCAAAAAACACTTATACCAGTATTAGATACCTGCAAGGAGCAGACCTGTTAAATAGTTGCTATTCAGAGTAGATCAGTGTTTCTTGATTCTTGCTCTATTATACCAGTTATATGCCTGTTTAATTCCATTGAAGTCATAAATTACATTAGCATATATCTGGTGTAGCAGCATGGAGAGTCTAACTTGAAGTTAAAGGGCCTCTCTGCCTGCCTATTTGTATGCAACTTCTGTTTTCTAAAATCATACCATCCATGTGGGAAGTTTGTCACACATATCCGGTTAAGACCTATTGTCCATATTTAACACTAAGGGATGAATCTGATTAGACTTGCAGAGTTGATTATGAAGATCCACATTCATAGCTGAGTTACTTGTATTGCCAGGTTTGGTCCACAGCTTCCCTTGGACATGAATGAGTTGACTGCTATGCTACCCATCACCAAACTGCATGTTCAAAAGGACGGCCTTTGAGCAAATAAATAAGGTACGTGCAAACTGAAGAGTGTCCTGTGCCATATCGTGTTTGCTAAATGCACCTGAAGCCACCCCGATTCTCTTTTTATCATTTTTAACACCCTAATCTGGTTCCAAGGGGCAAAATGATTTGATGCATTCAACTAGGCTTTCATCTGGAAAGGCCCTTGGATTTCTGCTCTCTTGTTACAGCATATGTTGTTAATGTTCAGTATATGGTATGCATGTCTGAGTTGGGGGAAGAGTTCATGGTAGGGGGGTGGCTGTCTTGAGTAGACCAGGTTGCATATTTTCTGACAAGACAGGTTCTTTTGTTAGAAAATGTGTATTCATATTCAGAACATGTTCTATGATTGTATGGATTCCACTGTTATTTTTAATGGGAAATTCTTGAAATATTTCTTGCTATATGATTTCAGTGTTTTATTTGACTTCTGCTGTATTATTTTTTTAACTTACAATATAATATACCATAACATTGCAGACACTCCAGCCAGATCAGAATGAAACAGATCGATGCGGTCACTTCATTTCATTAAATAATATTATTCCAATAGTGCAATATTTAGGAAATGTCATTGGATGTTAACTATTGTCATTTTGCTTGCTTTTCCTTCAAGTTGGAATGAAAAAAGGAAACTTTAAAATGGAAGGGCTTTGTGCAGAGCAGAAATTCTGTTTTCCAGCTCTTATCCGGAGCATAATGAGAACGAGTTAATGAGAAATAATTGCTCAGTATTTTTTTTTCCCTTTAAATGGCTGTAGAAACCCATGTTGTTAATATATAACTAGAGTACATCGTCCTCTCTGCCTGAAGTAGGACTAAAACACTAAGGGAAATAAGAGCAAAATAAACCTAAGAAATGTTGGAAAAGTGCTGTACATTTGGGGAATGTTCCAAAGTAATATTTGGCTCTGGCACTCTAAGTTTAAAGGCTTGTTCTTTCAAAGACACCATCAATTAATTGCTCATGTTTAATTCTATCCTGTGTTTACCAGCTGGAAAGCTTGTTGTGCAATAAGCATAAATATTTGCAATACAGAATAGTCTCTCCAATCGGCACACATGATTAATTCTTTATCTGTGGGAAACATTACAACTTGCTTTCCACCTCAATGGCTGTACAGTTACTGGGAACTCATTGCACATCAGTGACACGGGCTATAGAGCCAGCCCAGTAGCTTGGTTGGAAAAGTGCTATATATTTTGGGAAGGTTTGGACTGGAAAATTACATTGAGATTTCCATTCTTCATAATCCAGAAAAATCAGGTGATGGTTGTGGTCGCACTTGGGTTTGGAGTGGGAGAAATGCCTAACCCATTCCTAGGGGACCAAAAGGGGGAGCTCTGAGCATCGCTGATGAGGGCTCTTGAGTAAATAGTTATCATGTGGAAGCTACTATATTTATTTCCCCCACCAAGGTGGAAGGAGTGTTGTGAGTACCAAAGAAATGGTAAGAGACAGGGCGGGGAAAGGAGGGGACTAGCTCATGACGGCAATTATGCTGAAAGCACTATCATTGTGGAAGTTGTAGAGGCCAGAGCCTTGACTGTGATGATGAACCGGAATCCAGGGTTGTATGAACAACGTGTAGGAAGGCTGGTTGGTCCATCAGCTGGGAAGCTCAAAATCAGTATAAAACTTATTTTGCTAAAGTCAGTGTTTCGTTATTATGCAACAGGTTTTCTTCCAGGCTAAGGGCATGATTTCAGGCAGGTAGGTCTGATAAGAAGTACTTGAAAGCCAGAACTGAACAAGCATGTGAACTATTTAAGGCCGCATTTTTATATTTATTAGAAACAGCCTAAATAATTAAACTAGTCGATTCAGTCGTGGCTTTCAGGCTCATGCCCATAGTGAAAGGTCACGACCTGACATACCATGGCCCCACACGGTACAGATGATTGACAGGAAAAGGAAATAAGTTGATATCTTTCACGTGGGAATCACAGCTTGTCGCAGCGATGAGCAAGTGGGCTATTTGGACTTTGTGGGAAAAGTTAATTGTGTTATTATTCAAAATCTTAGTTCCCAAAGTTGGTTCAATGGTGATTTATTTACTTATATGATAAAACATCTGTGTACTGTAATAAAATACAGGTCACTTGCTGTTATTTAATACACAAAAGGGGGAATATGTTTGGTTTCTTTTACTTTGAACTTGCAGTCATTTTAGGTAGATGGGATGGCTTTGAATTGTCAAGAATTTTCTGTTATTATATTGGAAATAATTAATGCGATCATCATACTATAAGTTCTTCAAGGCTTAACTATGGAGAATAAGGAAGGCACCATACACTGAAATACAAGCACATCTCCACCATATGCTTTCATTATTTCTTTATAATGATAAAAAGGGGCTGTATTCAGTGCCAGACAATGTCATGGCCCCAGAGATTTAAGTGGCCTACAGAAAAAAGGAGGAAAAAAGCATTTATGATATGAATGAGGATTTGAAATGGCTTTTTTTTTTAAAGACCTAAGATCCACTTTTCACCCTAAATTCTGAAATCCCATAAAGGATGGCTAGATGCAAGAGAGCTTGAAGAATAGCAACTTTCCACCTGGCTCCATTTCAGACGCAGTATCAGTTCCATCTTGACTACGTTTTGTTATAAGGTCGTGTAATTGTCCTATCTCTTAGAACACAGACCGGCTTCCCGGGTTGTCTGATTTTGTTTCAGGAACATACCCTGTCATCTTTATCAAGAAACCTTGGGATTGATGTTCTTTTACAATTCAGAAAAGTGATGCGCTCTTTGTTTAGCTGGTTGAGTTCAGAGGCACAGCCAACTTAACAGCAGCTGATCTGTGTTATTAGCCTTCCTGCTAATTCCCCCAACCCACTGGAACTCACTTCTCTCAGCCCGTTGGGCCTCTATCAGCTGCTCCATGTGCTGCCGCTCCCTGCCATACGTGACCACGGTGGATTAGATATATCCCACTATGGTGCCCTCATGCAAGAAGTGGCAGCATATGGAGCCTCTGATAGAGGCCCACCAGTATGGGGTTGAGTTCCAGTGGGTTTGGTGAAGCTCCCATTAAGGCCAGTGATGGTTTTGCTGAGGTACAGATGGCTGCTTTACGCTTGCTCTATCCTGCAGTAATCTATCTAAATCACTTCCTCTTTTGTAGTGCTCTGAAAGTGTCTCCTGCTGTAGTTTCTCTTCCCATATCAACAGACCATATTCCAAATATTGTATGCTCAGCCCACTTGGAACTTGCCCGCTTTGGATTATTATTATTATTTTTAACGGTAGCATCAATCAGCTTTGTCTGAGAGAGTCTCCGGTTCGACGAGAGAAGCTGGGTCTAGCACTCGTCAGCTCCATCAGTGTCTGGGGATGTGGTACAGCAATGAGCATGGCTGTCTTGCAAGCCTTCAGAGTACAGTCTCATGGAATTGACTGCATTTGGGCCGAGATTGGCTTTTTCTGTTTGTTTGTAGTATTTATGTCCCTTTTAACCTTTGCCTGACACAAGGAGCACAATGTCTAGGTTAGGTAAACTGTAATTACATGCATTGGTTGAGATGTGCAGATGATGGTTAAGAACAGGAGAAATGAATGCAGCACGCAGCATGCACAGATTGGAAAAGCTTTTCTAGAGCAATGCCAGAGCAGCAGGCACAGCACTTCTGAGACCTTCGTTCCACGTTCTCCAAGCATAGCTCTGTGCATTGTCTCAAATGCTGTTGTGGAGGGTATGAGGCAGAAGAGGATGAAGGGTCTGTGGGTATAGTCAGTTAAGCAAATCTCTGGGACGTTTCTGCATTATTATAGAAGGGGATTACTCTTGCAGTGTACTGAACTCCAGCAATGAGCAATAGTAGTGGTCCAATTCTTCCCACTTGATCTGCTTGGGAAGAGTTACCCCATTTCACCCATGGCAACTTGGTTGAATCCCAGTTCTTTAAGCTGTACAGTGAGGGTGGTTTAAGGATTTGCTGTTCGGGCAACACCATCTTTCCTGGATTTGGGATTTATGACTTTGGTGAGCAGATGTTAGTGCAATTGGAAGGCACTAGGGCTGTGCAAAGCTTTGGTCCCCGATTCAATTCGGCAGAGATGTGGCTGAATCTCCAACTCCAAATCGAATCAGAGTACCCTTTAATCTCTCCAAAGCGATTTGGAACCCTCTGAACCGATTCAGAAAGATTCGGCGATTCAGACATAGACACAGCGTTAAATGTTTTTTCTATATACCTCTAGGTAGCAGGAGCTCGTGAGTGCTGCGATGCTGGCGTGCATGGAGTGTCCCACAGAAGCGCAGGGGGCTCCCCAGTGTGCTTGGCAGCAGATCCAGAAGTGGACCAGAAGCACTTCTGGTCCACTTCTGGGTCTGCACGGGAGTGCGCAGGGTGGGCCCACGCTTCTGTGGGACACTCGGTGGCTGGTGCCTCCTGGGTCTGGGGGGTCACCCGGGGTCCCCCTGTGACCAATTGCTGAGGGGGGGCATGGGGGGGGTCCCCCCGTGCACTCCCTAGCAGACCCAGAAGTACTTCACTCCACTTCTGGGTTCACCACCAAGCACATGGAGGGCCCTCCACGCTCCTGTGGGATGCTCTGTCCACCCCAGCATCGCAGCGATCATGAGCCATGCTGCTACCTTGAGGTATGTAGAAAAAACTTTTCAAGCTGTGTCTATGTCCGAATCGCTGATTCTCTGAATCAGCATCGACTCTTCAGATTCAACTGAATCGAATCAGGGACAGTAATCTGAATCAACAAATTGAATCACTGGCCCTGATTTGGGCCGAATCCAAATCTGAATTGAATAGGGCCCGCTTCGCACACCCCTAGAAGTCACCAAACTTCTGGCAGTGAAGAACGTGAGACTGTGGCACAGAATAGGAGCAGTGTGGGCCGACAGCTTGGCAAACTTCCCTCGCGGCCATACCGCTAATGTGGATTTGGGAAGTCCAGACCCTTGGAGGTCCAGCCCCTGAATTCTGTTCTGAAGCTATCAGCAAAGCTATCAAGTAGCACTGCTTGAGGTGCCGTGGAAA